TGAGAGACAATACTCTTAGCTCTTCTCTACACTCCTAACCTGCTTTTCCCAAAAGAGCAGAACTGGTCTCACTCTTGCCCTCCATCAGCCTTTGGTTCCCCAGCATAAAGTTGAGAAGTATACTACACAAGAACAAAAAGAAAGAAACTAACATTTATGGCCGCACATATCATCTCATTTATTTACCATTCACAAATTCTCTGCGGTATGTATTACCTGTAATCAAGCAAAAGAGGAAACCAGGGTCCCAAGGGGTTTAATGGCTTGATAAGGCCTCCTGGTCTACTTGGCTCCAAAGTCTGTGTGCTTTTTGCCAGACTTCGATGGCTCTCTGTGGAGCTCTAGAACAAAGAGCAATCCTTCCTCCTTAAGGTTTTGGTTCCAGTTATAGAGAAAGTGAAGTCCACACCCTCTGTTTATGGCCTTGGTAGTTAGTGTTACTTAATGAACGAAGTGAGTACACTCAGAAACTACTCTGTCTCCCCCCCCCCACATGGCCACGCCCCTTTCCCTCCCGGGGACAGAGTCCTGGTGTCATACTGCAGGCTCAGGCTTAGAAGTTTAATCCTGGACCCCCAAGCAGAATATAAAGAACTGCATAAATGCATTTTATAAGTTCCATGGTGCCCCAGGACCCAAGCTCTCTCCTAGACCAGGCACTGTGTTAGTCAGCATGGTCCCGGCCTCAAGGTGTTCTGTTCAAGTTAGTGACCCTTTCCTCAAAGGCTCTAGAAACAACCACACTGAACCTACTGGGGACATCCTTGGAATAAATGGAGAAAACCAGGCCAACACATCTGTGATATGCTATGTTAACTGCTGTATACAGAAATGAACCAAGTACTGGGGGAGCACCCAGCAAGGCACTGCTGACTGTCCCAGACCTAGACCTCGGAGGAGATGGAGGGACCAGGGAGCAATTCAGACTGATGTTAGCCACGTGCTCTGGGAGCAGCTGGGTGCAACCAGGATCAGTTAAACTATGTAGATACAGTACGTATTTCTATCATGAGATACACGCTCAACATGGAAAATTCAAGCACATACGGGACAACAGAAATGGGGGGACAAAAACCTCTTACTATCTCTATACTATACAAGTAACCATTACTAACAGTTGGCTGTACTTCACTATGGTAACTTCTGAAATAGTTATTCAAATGTACTAAATATTGACTTTGTCACTTAACGTACCCTAAAAATCTGCTGATACATACAGATCTACCTTTTTTTTTTTTTTTTTTTTTTTTTTTAAGGCTATGTGGTATTTCACCAACTGGCGTACATCAACGTGTATGAGACCTGATTAGACCCCGGGTGCTCTGCCTTTGTACTGGATGGGACTGGAATGAAACCATTCTCCCCTCCCCTCCCTTTTTAGCTGGCAGGGCTTCTCTCTTTCAGGGCAGGGCACAACAGTGTCACACAGCCAGCAGGCATGCAAATATTTGCCGCCAAGTCTCTGGCGCTCCCTACACCTGTATTTTCACGTGGAAACTTGTCTCTCGCCTGGCCTGCTGCGGTGGACACCTCACTGACCTCAGCTTCTCCTCCACGTTGCTGACAGAGTCTTCTCTGGAATAAGAAAATTCAATCACAGTGTTTTCCTGCTCAAAATCCTCCAGTGGCTCCTGCTGGCCTGGCTCTTTTTGGAGGGCCGGACTAGGCTCCCTTTTGACAATCTCTGGAGTCCGATGAACTCTCATCCCAGGGGAAAAAAATGTGCCTACTGCCCGAAGCCCACTCTCAGGATAACACATGAGTATCTCAGCCTGCACTGGTTCTCCCAGCTGGCCCTGGCCTCCTCCAGCCTTACCTCTTACCCTTTGCTAATATGGAATTAAGTGCAGTTTCCCTTACACTTCCTGCTGTGTTCTGCTTTTGCTCATGCTGTTCCCTCTGCCTGGAATGCCCTCCCATTTTAGCCACCTGAGAAGTTCTCTTCGTTCACATACTCAGCCACAGAATCCTCTCTTCTGTAGTCCCCTCAGACTGCTCCAGGCACTCCAGCTTTCCTCACTGTTCTGAAGCCTCCAGTCCAGGGCTTTACTGTGCTGCCATGGCCAGTCTCCCCAGAGACTGAGTTCCTTAAGGCAGGAACTGGGCTTTTTAAATTTGCAGCTGCCTATGCTGCACAGGACCCATCTTATTCTAACAGAGCATAGTTGTGGAAGGAATGAAGGATTGGTCCCTGTGCCATCAACATGTCCCATCATCTTCCTCTATAGGAATATATCGCGTCTACGGGTAATCCCAGAATGGGAGACAGTGCTTCCTAAAGCTCAGTCATTCCCACAGCATCTTCACCATGATTTTAGCCACCATCCACAGGCACAATTTTTAACCTAATCACCATATGACCTTTAATAATGCCTCACTATAAAATGATGTGTCGCACTAATTACGTATTTTTTCTAAGATGCAATGTTAAAGGATACTCATCACAGTACTGCCTACAGCAGTGTGAACCCTGTTTCTCTGGTAAGAAGCATCTGAGATGCTTGTTACAGACATAGCTATCCTGGATCCTACCTCATACTCACTCAAACTCTCCAGGGAAGGGATCAGGGAATTAGTTGCTTTAATAAATGCTCCCAAGTGATTGGCTTCTTTAGGGAAATTTGGGAAACACTGACAGAAGAAAGCAACCTACTGCTTGCTACAGGTACCAGGCTTGGGGATAACTGGAAGGGCAGCAATTCAGACTAGCTGGGCTGCCAGAGCTCACAGCCACTCCCTTTCTAAGAGACTCTGAAGCTTTCCAAACAGAAGCTCCACCAGCCCCCAAGTGGTTGTAAGTAGCAAAGAACCTGATCCAGATTACAGCAGGAGAATCCTGAGGGCCAAGGTTCATTTCTGGATACCTAACCAAATGCATCATAAAAAGCTTTCACAGGACCCACTGAGATAAAACCATGGTCTCTACATTGAGAGCTGTACAGAAAACTTCCTGTTCACTAAAACCAAAGTCAGGGCCTAAGGCAAAACCAGAAAAAGTTCTAGAAGTGCTTCCTGGGGAGGTAGAGCTGATCATGTCACTGAGCTGTCTTCTATCTCCTTCCCGTCTTCTTTTATTTCCAGTGCCTAGACAGAAGGCCTCCCGTGCGTGATTAGGTGATATCTTGATTTGAATGCAGCAGATTCCTGCGGGACCAGTGCCACCAAGAGAGGATCACCTTCTGGGTCTTTTCTGATCGGAATATGGTGGCCTTTCGATTAAAAAGCAGGCTCTGTTATTCCACTACAGCCTTGCATTAGCATCTGCTGAGTGCTGGTTAGAAATGCAAGATGTCTGGCCCCATCTGGACCCACTGAGCCAGAATCAGCATTTTAATAAGATCTCCTGGTGATTCATACGTGCATTAAAGTTCGAGAATACTGCCCAATAGGGTCTGAAAACAGCATTTATATTAGTTGTTAGCCATTATCCTGCCCTGAACAACCTGAGGGATCTGAAACACTCCCATAGGAATTAAAGATGCTTGTAACTTTACAGCTGGCAAGAAAAATTATGGGATGATACTCTGCTCCCCAGGGAATTAATCTCCACTTTTCCTTACTTTCTCCCAAATCACATTACTGAGAAACCCAAAGTGGGGACACTTTATGTCAGACTGCCACCTAGATTCCCTAACACCTTAAAACTTATGATAAAGATTTTTGGGTAAGTTAAATGAGATAATTCAAGTTCTTAACTCAATATTTGAGCATAAGAAGTATGCAATAAACAACTGCCATTATGATACTGCCTCTAAGTATTAGCTATGAAAGATTCAGTTCTGAGCAAGTCACGGGTAGGAGACTGAATTGGAAGTACCACACTTATATTTAATTAATATTAAATAAAAAATTCAGTCCTTCAGTCACGTCAGCTACATATTTCAGGTGCTCAACTGGCACATGTGGCTGGAGCTGCATGATGGACAACACAGATATCGAACATTTCCACCATCACAGGAAGGAATTTCTATTGGACAGTTCTGGTCTAAGAAGCCTCTGGAACGTCAAATGGCCCTTGTGGAATTTGTTCTGCTTGGGTTGCAGGCTGAGAAGAGAGGCTTCCACGGGGGCAAAGGTTTACTTTGCCCTTTGCTAATAAGAGATGAGGAAGGGATGGTTAGCCCCAATCAAAAAATTTCTTAAACACTGTTCTTTTTTAATCTCTGTCTTCTGGTAGTGACCAGTGGTCAATCCTTAGAAGGAAAAGGACCTAGTAGCTCAACTCAGGTTCAGCAAGGAGAAGGAGGGAAATGCTAGCCACTACTGAAGGAAGAGAACAGGCTGAGCCCTAGGGATCTCCTAGGCAGGAAAGAAAGCTCAGGGTGTCAACTGTGCCTCAGAAGGGACTATTTGGCTGGAGAAGAGAGAGGACCATGTGCAGCTTCTAGCACACACTTGTGCATGCCTGCCTCTGCATTTGCTCATACCAGTTCTCTGCCTAAAATGCCTGACATTCTCTCTCTCTATTAACTCATGTAATAAATTTTTGATGAATGCCTGTAAGTGCCAGATGCTATGAACACAGAGTAAGTCACAGATAGAGGTATATACAGTTATTAAAATGGTCTGGCATTTGACTAGATCTCCATTCAGAAAAAAAGGCAGAGAGGGGTGCCTGGGTGGCTCAGTCGTTAAGTGTCTGCCTTCAGCTCAGGTCATGATCCCAGGGTCCTGGGATTCAACCCTGCACATGGTTCTCTGCTTGGCAGGAAGCCTGCTTCTCCCTCTCCCACTCCCTCTGCTTGTGTTCCCTCTCTCACTGTATCTCTCTCTGTCCAACAAATTAATAAAATATTTTTTTAAAAAGAAAAGAAAAAAAGAAAAAAAAGGCAGAGAAAAGAAAAATAGATTCTATGTAATTTTAAAGTATATAAGTAAAACCATAGAAATATTAAAAAAATATAAAAGACGTTATGATCTGAGATACTAAGGACCTTCCTAAAACAAGATAAAACCACAAAAGCCGTAAGAGAAAAGACTGATAATTTTGACCTCATCAAAATTTAGAGTTTCTGTTTAACAAAGGATATCACCAAAGTTAAGATAAGCAACACAATGTCAGTTTTTGCTTAAAATGTGTTCTGGACAAAACAGTCACAACATTTAACTGTTCAAATCGTCAGAGAAGGATAAAATAAGTTATATGCTACAAACACAGCATACTGTCAGTTTGTTTTCATATGAAGTAGTTTTATGTGATGGAAGAGGAAGTCTTCAAGACATCTGCCAAATGGAAAACAAATGAACAAAATAGTATGATGACATTTAGGAAAAACAAAACCTCCCAAAATAAGATAGGCATAGGAAAGGCCCTGATGGTCATACATCAAACCGAAAGCAGTTACCTCCTGGGACAGAAGTGGGATTGGATGGGGAGGACAGGCAATGACAAGGACTTCGAACTGTTTTCTTGAGATTATATTATGTTATTTTTAAGATTAAAAACAACCAAATAAAATATGTGAACCTTTATTGAATTTTTCTTTTTTTAGAGCTATTAAAGTTACTATGTGGACAGCTGGGGAAGCTGGAACATGTATATTAAATAATATTACTGTGGTCTTGTAAGATGCTATTTTTAGGAGTTGTCTGCTGAAGTATTTAGGGGTAAAGTGTCAGGAAGTCTTCAACTTTCAAATGGGAAAGAAATAAAATGATGGAAGGAATGAAGGTAAAAAGGAGGGAAAGAAGGGGAGCAGGAGAGAGGAGAGGGAAGAAGGGAGAGAAAAAACTAATGTCAAAGTAAAATGGTAACACAAGAATATTAACCATTGGTAAACCTGGGCAAAAGGGAAATGGGTATTCAGTATACTTTTCTTCCAAGTTTTCTGCAGGTTTGAGAATAGGAAGGAAGGAAGGAAGGAAGGAAGGAAGGAAGGAAGGAAGGGAGAGAGAGAAAAGCAAGGCAAAAGGCACCACCACCCCACACCTAGCTGAAGTGATCAATTTCTCCCTCGAACTCTGATAACATTTAGCAACGTCAGTTATATTACTAGTGATCACCTCTGAGAATGTGTCTTATTCCCTTTAAGTTCCTGAAAGACAGAGACATTTTTCAACTCTTTGTCACCCAGCACAGAGCAGGCAGTGGCAAGTATGGGGAGGAAGTGAGCCGGTGCAGGCTGGGAAATGGGTTGCGTTCACTTATGAGTCTGGCAGATACAAAGTCAGGCCCTGGAAATGAGCATCACTTCCTTTTTTATTTTTTATTTTTTTAGATTTTACTTATTTATTTAAGAGAGAGAGCAAGCACAGAGGGAGAGTGAAAGGAAGAAGCAGACTCTCCACGGAGCAGGGAGCCCAACTCGGGGCTCAATCCCAGAACCCTGGGATCATGACCTGAGCCGAAGGCAGAAGCTTAACTGACCGAGCCCCCCAGGCACACCGAGCATCAGTTCCAATGAAAGAGGCACGACGGCTGTGTCTCCCAGACGCCCAGCCTGCTCCCAGCCTGGAGTTGCCCAGGGGTGGAGCCAGGTCCTGCCAGCAGGGGCACAGGAAAGAACTAGAGTCTGACAGTGCTGTGAGACTGCTCACTGGCTTTCAGGTTGATACTTTGTAGACCACAAAGTGGTAGAAAAGTTAAATGCCCTAATAAACCTTTCTCTTCTGATCCTTACAAGGAGCCTAAGAAAGCTATTGTCCCCATTTGACAGATAAGGAAACGGGCTCAGAAAAGGGAAGTGATTTCCCCAAGGTCACACAGACAGGAAATGGGGCTCAATCCCATGTTTTCAAGTCTGTAGTTCCTTCCACTAGACCATGCTGTCTTCACTGGCGACTCCTAACCAGGAGAAGAAAGGCACACGTACCTGATCAGTCTTGCTCTCGACTACATCTCCCCACACTGTGAGATCACCACAGGCAGCTTGGGCTTATTGTTGGGACCTGTGGGAACATTCTAGGAGAGAAAGCACAGTGGAGATTCATCGGCTCAGACACACACTCACCAAACACATAGTGATGCCTGCCAGCCCCTGTGCTAAGGACTGAGGACTCAGGGACTGAAATGTTAACAGTCCATGTCCTAGCTGAAGGGTAAAGATAATCCAGATCAAAGAGAAAATGTCCAACATTTAAAAAATATCAAACCTATGATATGAAACAATGCAGTAAATTATAAGACAGAATTGACACAACAGAGCAGAGGAAGCAACCACTGCTTAAACAGGGGACACTTGAGCTGGGCCTTGGAGGATGAATGGGATCCTACCAGAAGGAAAAGTAGAAGAGCATTCCAGTAGAGGAAATAGCACGGGCAAACGCTCAGAGGCAGGAATGTATGGTAAATTCCCAGGAGAGCTAGTAGCCTGACAAGACTGGAATACGGACGCAGCAGTGGCAGAAGGGGTTGTGGAGACATAGCGGGGCCCAGGTCATGAAGGAACTTGGATTCACTGCTGAGTAAGATTTTATCAAGTAGGTGAAGGGGCCACCAGAAGCCAAACCTCAGTGAGCACCAGAGGGGCAAACTTCAGGCCAGAAAAATGTGTGTGTGGGGGGGGGCTTAGACTCCTCGTTCTTTCTAGGGAGCCCAAGTAACTGGAGGCAGTAAAGACAGGGCCTAACACTCTCATGTTACTAGACCAGAATGGGCAAGATGGAGGGAATCAAAACAGGACTCACCTCGATCTTTCGCATCACTAGAAGCCCATCAATGATTTTTCCTGTAGGAAGAGTATGCACTAGGCTTTATTATTCTCATTTGCATAGCACTTTCCAGCTTCCAATGTCCACTCTTAGCCAGCATCTCCCTGGAATCTCATACTACCATCAGAAAATTGAGATTTGATGGAAGTGAAATGATTTGCCCAAGGTCAGAGATAAGAAGGAGTAGCAGACTAGGTTTGGGCGATTGCAAAGCCCTACTGTACCGTGCTCCCTCTGTGTGGCATTCCTTAAGTGACACCATCCCGGTTTCCCTCCCAGACATACAGATCATCCCAGTGGTTACACACTGCATCAGATAGTCCCTCCATCCTTCCCTCTAGCATTCTAACCACAAGTTCTCCCCACCTCCCACCACTTCCACTTTCCCAGAGCAGTTACATCAGTCAAGCACTCTTGGGACTAGAGTCTGAGGACTGGCTCCTTTAGAAGTCCCACTCTGTGTGAACAGGGCCCGGACTCTGGGACAGGAAGAGGACTCACCAAACACTACGTGTTTCCCATCCAGCCAATCACATTTGGAGCAGGTGATGAAGAACTGACAGCCATTTGTACTGGGACCGCTGTTTGCCTGACAGAAACCAAGTACACCTTCAGTGAGTCTTCCTGGCCATGCTAGTCAGAGGGCAAGATTCCCAAAAGAGGGGCATCTGGGTGGCTCAGTCAGTTAAGCATCTGCCTTCAGCTCAGGTCATGATCCCAAGGTCCCAGGATGGAGCCCCACATCAGGCTCCCTGCTCAGTGGAGAGCCTGCTCCTCCCTCTCCCTCTATCTGTTGCTCCCCGTGCTTCTGCTCTCTTTCTCTATCTCTGACAAATAAATAAAATTGTAAAGAAAAAAAAAAAAAAAAGATTCCCCAAAGAGCCTGTAGCCGATTCCTTTCTTTCAGCAAACCTTACTAACTAACTACTATGAGCCAGGTCCTAAGCTAAGATCCAAAGATACAGAGAGAAACAGGATACATAATCACTAGCCTCAAGGAGCTAGAACCTTGAATAAATGTACAGTTCTCCTGCAGCCTGAATTTTTAATATGGGAACAACTGTTCGCAGGGACTGATCTGCTGTATTTAATCCGACACTGGTTATACCTGGATTACAGTTACGAGTTAGGTACAATGGAGAAAAAGCCTGTTGCCTGTGCCATAAGCTCTTTTGACTGAATAGCTTTGTACTGCACCATAACAATGGTAATAAAAGACTGTAAGGAGGTGTGAAAAGTTGCTATGCTAGTGCCATGCTAGAAAAAGATGCTATTTAATCAATGATGCTTGCTTTTTACACCCCAAAACCTATATTACTGAATTTTACAGGAAGAAGTTTTTTTTTTAAGATTTTATTTATTTATTTGACAGACAGAGATCACAAGTAGGCAGAGGCAGGCAGAGAGAGGAAGGGAAGCAGGCTCCCCGCTGAGCAGGGAGCCCGATGCGGGGCTCGGGGCTCGATCCCAGGACCCTGGGATCATGACCTGAGCCGAAAGCAGAGGCTTTAACCCACTGAGCCACCCAGGCGCGCCCCAGGAAGTTATTTTTTTTAAATTGAGAATCTGAAAGTCTCTAGCCCTATCCCATCTCTTCCCTTGAAATTGTTTCTACATCATTACATTTCACAATGCATTACAAAAGAATGGGCTATGATTATGATGCACAGAAAGGCACGGAGCAGATACCGATGAATGACAAAAAGATCATCAGCATGATAGCTAACCTCTACTGGCCAGTTGCTTGACAAACACCCTAGGAGGGTTAATTCCTTTTAATCCTCTCAACATCCCTTTGAGATAGGTATAAATGAGAACACTGAGGCCTAGAAAGGTGATGTGACCAAACCGAGGTCACACAATCACGAGGCCATCATCTGGCTCCAGAGCTTACTCTTGAAAGGAGTGAGCTGTACTGCCTCAAGAGAATGAGCAAACTGAGGGGCTGAGGGCAGAGAGTGCCCCTTGAGCCATAAAAATGTATATGACTGTTCTGCCTGCCTGCTTGCTAATCAGTGTCCCTGCACCAGCCGCAAGGGAGATTGAGTGATTGCTTGATTGACTGGTCAAAAGAAGGAAGCAAAGAATTGGGAGCCCCGGGATATCTGTGCCTCATTCCACAGCATGTGCCTCCTCTGACTGGCTTAGGCATTCCCTTGCTTTCGGGTAGGAGTTGTACATGCACAAAACCCACGAGTAGCCTCATCTTACGTGGGGCATTTCTAAGTATAACACAAAATCCCTGGTGAGGCAGTGAGCGCGTTCCCCTGGACAGTGCTATGAATGTATTTTGTGCACACGTTTATTCCTGCACAGCCCAACACAGAACCAACCGATTTAAGTCCATGTAGCATCCTATTACTGCTGTCAATCCGTCTCATAATTTCCAGTCCTGCCTCAGTCATGGTTATTGTATGAGACCTGTGCTTTTAATAGTACTCTCAGTTTCCCATGGTCGACTCCTTTTTTCCAAAACAAGGGAAGTATGCGATAAAACATCCACAGAGACAGACACTGTCGCAAGGCAGTGCTACTGAAAGGTGACTTGGACTTGCTGATGTACAAAAGCCTGAATTTAGCATATTAAAGCCAGTTTTGGGGTCTCAGCATAAAAAGTACAAAAGTACACTTCATAAGAAAGTCAAATCTCGCCTTACAAAGCAGTACAGCTAACTGCTTTCAAGAGTAAGCTTTGGGGCGCCTGGGTGGCTCAGCGGGTTAAGCCTCTGCCTTTGACTCAGGTCATGATCTCAGGATCCTGGGATCGAGCCCTGCAATGGGCTCTCTGCTCAGCAGGGAGCCTGCTCCCCCCACCTCTGCCGCCTGCCTCTCTGCCTACTTGTGATCTCTGTCTGTCAAATAAAATCTTTAAAAAAAAAAAAAAAAAGTAAGCTCTGAAGCCAGACGATGACCTCATGACCGTGAGGGGGAATCTTGATGGATGGAGCGCTAAAAGCACAACTGGCCACACTCTGAGCAACAGGGCTGGATGCTGAGCACATTTCCCCACTCAAACAGAGGTAAGAAAACACACATCAGAGTTCAACTCTGGCTCCCCAGACTGCTAGGAGCCCAGCTCAACAAAATCAAAGCCAACTGAAGAAGGAGGTGTGTGTGGCAGACGTGAGTCCTGGGACAAGCAAGAGAAGTAAAGATTTGCTTCCATCCTAAGAGATAACAATGGGCCTCAAGAGGGGCCCATAACCTGGGGAATACGAATGTAACCCAAAACCTTGGCTGGATCTTACTTACCATGGAAAGCAGGCCTGGAGCTGAGTGTCTGAGTTTAAAATTTTCATCTGCAAATGGCCCCCGGTAAATACTGGCAACTCCGGTACCATCTCCCTGAGCAGAAAAAAAAGGAAGTGTTAACAAGTTTTGAGTGTTGCCCCTCCTTCCCCATCCTGGAACCCAGAGGAGGGATGCTGCCGCACCACAGCCAACTTTTTAAGGTGCACTCTTATGCTTGAAGGTCACTTTGCCAGTCACACCTCTCTGACCCTATCTTATAATCAAAGCCAGCACCATCCTAGGCAACCTGCAGCCCACGCACTGGCCAGGGCAACGCACAGGTTCGGTAAAATAGGTGACAGCTGGGCCTTTAGAAAGCTCAGTTAAGACACAGGCAGAGTAGGGAATGACAGTACAATGATCACATACATAATCCTTGCCACTCCCAAAGACTCTCATGCCCGTTGGCATATAGAATTATCCAATTAACTGACCACTATCCCCGCTCCAAGCTATGCAAGTGGATAGGCTCTTGGAAGCCTCGTCTGTGCAGATACCACCCTCTTGACCAAAGCTGATTGGTCCAAGAGAGGATGCCCAACTAATGGAGTTCCTTCTTTGGAAATTGTGAAGGAGGACTGATGCTCTCTTTGAGGTTGAAGTTATCATGTGAGCCTGGAAGCTGCCAGTGACCATCGTCTGGTCTGAGAAGAGAAAGAGAAGGCAACACACTTGTATAGAGAGCACTAGAGAAACAGAAAGAAAGGACTGCCTTGGTTCTATGTGGCCTACTAGTTCCTAGTTCGTTTCTTCCTTTGGGTTTCATGAAACGCCTTATCATAAATCCCCAATTTCTGCTTAAACTAGCTTTATTAGCATTATCTCTTCACTCTTCCAGTAACCACATGTAATAAGCACTATTATTGTCCTCGTTTTCCAGGTGAGCCCACTGAAGTCAGGGTGATAAAGCAACTTGGCTACAGCCATATTTGTAGTACCTTAAACAGAATACCTGAAAGGGTGCCAAAAGACCAATCTCTTCCAGCCAGTTAGTAAAGAGAAAGAATATTGGGTGCATGGCAGAAAGGGAAAGCACTGATGTAGGCCAGAATCAAGGGGCCCTTATTGGGACAAAGATTACCAAAGACAATTAACATAAGCCAGACAAGGAAAAAAACTGTCAAAATCAAACTTTTATTTGATTACAAATTAATAAAACCAAGCTCTGTGTAGAGGAAAGATCTGGATGTGAGTTCTGGATCAATCCTTTATGAGCTGGAAAAGTCACTTTGCACTGCTGAGCCTCCCTTCTCTCAGCTACCAAGTGAAGATGAAATCACCTGCTCTTTACACCGCTGCCAGGAAGACCCAATCAGAAAAGACCTTGCAATTGATACGGCACTATAGTAAATGTGAGCTATTATATCTTTCTTTTTTTTAAGATTTTATTTATTTATTTGACAGTGATCACAAGTAGGCAGAGAGGCAGGCAGAGAGAGGAGGAAGCAGGCTCCCTGCTGAGCAGAGAGCCTGATGCGGGGCTTGATCCCAGGACTCTGGGATCATGACCTGAGCCGAAGGCAGAGGCTTTAACCCACTGAGCCACCCAGGCGCCCAGAGCTATTATATTTTTAACTCCACACAAATACCTACGTACATACAGAGGAAGAGAAAAACAAGTTCACTTCCAATTTCCCAATAAACCTGGGGGACAGATCACTTCTTGCATCCTTTGCTATAATTACATTATTTATTGCTCTCCAGGAACCAGAGTAGGGAAAATGACAAAATTAATTTTCGGAGCAAACAACAGAAAGTGACTTAAAATTAATTGAATAGGAGCACCTGGGTGGCTCAGTTGGTTAAGCATCTGCCCTCAGGTAAGGTCATGATACCAGGGTCCTGGTGTAATGTCCCAGTTTTACAACATAACACACATGAGACAAACCGTATCTAAAAGCCTGGTTTGACCTAAAATCTGCCACTTTGTAACTTTACCCAGACCGGAAATAGGTCTTTAAAAACTCCTAAGAGTTAAGCTGAATAAATATACACATGAAGGAGAAAGAACATCTCTAAGATTCAAGAAAATAGCAATTTGTTTTAACCAAATGGTATTAATAAGAAAGACCACCATGCACATGCATGCAAGTGGTTGGCTAAGGAAAAATGTAGGTCTAAGAAGAGATATGGTTTATTCAGCACCATCCAAGGTCAGAGAAGGAGAAGAGGCTTAGTATGAAAGACACATACAATCTAGTCACAAGAAATTTATACTTCACAGCGAAGAATTATTCTACTGGGCTCTGTTAGTAAATAGAGGAAATATCCCTCCAGAACCATCTGCCTCTGTTGCTCTGATTCTTTGCCCACTAATTGATTTCTGGTGAAAAATGCAACTTTCCTGGGGAGCCTGGGTGGCTCAGTGGGTTAAAGCCTCTGCCTTCGGTTCAGGTCATGGTCTTGGGGTCCTGGGATCAAGCCCCGCATCGGGATCTCTGCTCAGCAGCGAGCCTGCTTCCCTTCCTCTCTCTCTCTCCCTGCCTCTCTGCCTATTTGTGATCTCTATCTGTCAAATAAATAAATAAAATCTTAAAAAAAAAATGCAACTTTTCAGGCACTGTGATACCAGAGGTAGAAGGGAATTAGAGCATAAGCACTGAGCTCCATGAAAAAGGACTACTGCCATTTAGGGAAAAAAAAAAAAAAATTTTTTTTTTTTCATCTGATTTCTACCCAAGTGTCATGCGACTAACTAGTTTGTATCTCTCAAGGATCATCTATAGGTATACTGGGAAAGTTCAGTTTCTGGCTCTAAAAGGCTGAAATTTGGAAGTCAGTGACTTGAAGTGCTAATGTCTTCCTCTAGTGGTATAAAGAGCAGTAGCAAGTAACTCTAAAGGACATTCCTATCAACCCCCACCCTCACTCCTTCAGAAAACTTCGCTACTGTTGCGAGCCTTAGGACTGAGTCCTGTAGTCGAAGTAGTAGTAGCAGCAATAACAAAAAACAATATTCCTAAAGGGCTTTGATAGTAAAGAAATAGTACTTACATTAACAAAATCCCCACCCTGAATCATGAAATCCTTTATGACCCTGAAACAAAGAATAAAGGATCCTGAGAGAAGGTTCTGTCATTTAGAAAAACATTGCTTTAGTCATTATACTTTAGATTAACATTGATTTAAAAATAAAATGTTTATCACCCTGGCTTTTAATAAGCCTTCAAATCAACTGTTGAGTTCACAAAAACATTCCTTCTCAAGATCTAGGAATTGTCCTATGGTTTTACTTCCCACTAAAGAGATGAATCCCCAAAGGAAGTAATTCTAAAAGCCTGCAGGATGGCTTGCCAAGGCCTTACCTGTGGAAGGTGCTCCCTTTGTAGCCTATCGGAACCCCATCTTTTCTATAACCAAAGAGAAAGAAACTTGGGATGATGATAGGTAATCAGAGGCCTGTCCAGTTTACCACCCACTAGAGCCAAGGAACTCTCCTAAAGATGGTCAGGAGAAGAGAAATAAAGAAGGCAAATGAACTGAAGATATTGGGGTATTACCTTCTATTACTGTCACCAGCAATCATTCAAGGCCTGCTGATGGTTCCCCAAAACCCCACCGCAGCCCCAGGACACCCTTGAGGAGCAAGCAGAGAAATCGACCATGTCTGACACTGACCTGAATTCTCCAGTGCAGAACTGCCTTAAAGGGAAAAGAGTGAACGAATCAGTTACCATGGCATCACAGCTGAGGGCATTCCTACTCGGGTGGGGATGGGGGGAGCACAGACATTAGCGCCAGAAAGCCCACCAACGGGCCAGCCGACGTCCAGACACCTAAGCATACAAATTAACAACAAAATTGATATGGGAAGAGTAAAAACGGTGACTATTCAGAGCGCTACAGAGAAGACTCCGATCTCAAGGGCAGCGGGTGGACAGACAGAGGCAGGCAGAGGATAACGCCTACCGGTTCCAGCTTCTGGTTCGGTTAACCTAGCAGAGCTGGAACATCTCCTTACCTAAAATTCTCGGCCGTCTTAGGCACAACGTCCGCAAAGAGCTCGATCTTCATGCGGCCAACTTCCTGCAAGCGGCGGGAGATGGTCAGAATACCCGGTCCAAGACCATGAAGGCCTCGGCGAGCAGGAACTGGAGCGGTTGACCCCTCATAGACCCCATGCCACTCGGTCTCTACCACCTCCACCTCCACAGCCTCTCCTTCCGCGCCGTCCAGTCCCTCCCGCTGCGCGGCGCTAGGATGGGCAAGACTTCTCCCCCTCCCGTGCCCGTGCCCGTGCCCCGCAGGTCGGTAGGTTCTGGACCAGTATCGTTTCCTGGATTCTCCAGTCCGCTATCCCTGGGTGGGTGAGATCTTCCCGGCTGGTCCCGTGCAGTGTCCCTTCGGCGCCGTGGCTGCATGAACCTCACCTGGCCGCCAATGCTGACATCAAAGAACACCACGGGATTGACAGGGCTTGAATTTGCCACCGCCATGGCTGCGACCCGGAAGCAGAAGACCTAGGCGTGGGTTCCGGCGAACCTAATCCCCCGCTTCGCGGGTTTGTGCGCCGGCGCAGGCGCAAGACCCAACCAAGGCCAGGCCCCGCCTCCCGGAAGTCCCGCCCCGCCTCGGCTGCCAAGAGCTCTGTACCTCCCGTGCCGAAACCGGGCGTTGTGGCAGTACGTGGACCAGGACCTCTGAGCCATCCTACGTGCGACCGGTCTGATCCCTGCCCACTAGTCTGTGAGCCCCACGAAGGCACTTGGAATAGCCTGGTATATGTAGCCCTTCGGTTAAGTCAGTACACCAGAATTTTAGTTCTAGTTCTGCCACAAGCTTCCACTCTTGCCACCTACAATTCATTCCTGTAGAGCGGCTAGAGCTTTTTAAATAAATCTGCTTATAAATCATCCGTGGCTTCCCATATTTAGAATAAAATCCAATTCCTTACATACAAAGGCCTACATTACATTATCTGGTCACACATATCTGGCCTCATCCTGTATCACCCTCCATTATGATTCTCTGGTTTTTCTGTCCCTTGAGGTCATGGAGATTGATACTCTCTTTAGAGTCTTGGTACCAGCTGTTAACAGTCTTTAATACTCTTCTAGATCTTAATGAAGGTAGGGAGTGCTCCTTTAGCTCAAGGCTCAGCTCAGCGGTCACTCAACCTAAAGCAGCCCATAGTCACTCCTCCAGAACCATCACTGGTTTATTTTCCTCATGCCACTCACCAACCAAAATTATATGGTTTGTCACCCCGCCTGTGTGTCCCTGTTGCACACACATATCTACCTTCCAACCTAATAACATATTAACTCCAGAAAAGCAGAAACTGTCTTCACAGGTGTAGCTCTAATGCCTACTATTGAATAGCCCATAGTAGGGATTCAATAAATAGATTCAATGAATTGAGTGAAAGAAGGTGACCTTGGGCAAGGTTTGGAGTCAGAGCATGTATCTGTTATCATAGCTGTTATGTCCTATATCCATTGATCATCCCTTCTGGGTCAGTCATCTGAGGAAGTAAGGGTTACATATAAAAATTCAATATCTCAACTCACAGTGTCTTTTTAATTTTTGGTTACTTTTCCTTTTCTCTTGGTCTCCTCTATCTCCAGTTGAAGAGGAAGAAGAAAGAGGAGGAGAATAAGAATGGAAAGAAAGAACAGCAGGAATCACCCTTTAGTATAGCTTATAGCAACTATTTTTTTTTAAAGATTTTATTTATTTATTTGACAGACAGAGATCATGAGTAGGCAGAGAAGCAGGCAGAGAGAGAGGAAGAAGTAGGCTCCCGGCTGAGTAGAGAGCCTGATGCAGGGCTCGATCCCAGAACCCTGGGATCATGACCTGAGCCGAAGGCAGAGGTTTTAATCCACTGAGCCACCCAGGCGCCCCTATAGCAACTATTTTAAAATAAATTTTTTGAATTGATTAAATATCCAATGTTGATGAGGTTGTGGAAAAACCAGTACAAAGTGCCAGTGAAAATAAATGATGATACCTAGCATTTCTTAAGTAGCAGCTAAGTTCTAAATATACATTTCATTTCATTCATATAGTCCTCACAACTATATGGGACAGGAACGACTACTGTGCCCATTTTATGGATCAAGAAGTTTAAAGAGGCTGACTATAGGAGCACCTGGGTAGCTCAGTCAGTTAAGCATCCCACTCAGTCTCACCTCAAGTTGACGACTTTTTTTTTAAAGCAACACAAGTGAAATACCAAACTATATAACATTTGTATCCTCTGACCCAATTATGCCAATTGTTTCTGGAATAACTCAAGAGAAAAAGAAGAGCTACATTCACAAAGACTTTTACCACAGCTTAATCTCAAATAGTGAAAAAGTAGAAACAACTTGAATGCAAACAATGAGAGAATTTATAAACATCATGTGGCTACTGAAGGAATAATTACGAAGACTATTAAAATATTGAAAAATGTTTTATGGTATGTTAAACTAAAAATCAGACTGTGAAAATGAACATACAACATAACAATCACTTAAAAATATATGCATTTGATAAAATTTATTTCTAAATTTAAAAAATATGCATTTGAATAAGAACCAAAAAGGAATAAAATGAAAATAGTTGTCTTGAGAATGCAGGATTATAGGAGATTTCTCTTTCTTTTTAAAGTATTTGCTTTAATATGATTACATTGTTTTTGCTTTTAAAAAATAAATAATATCCATGATAATAGGGGGAAAGTGCTGAGTTAGCTATATAGGTGCTCTACTGAACAGACCCCTAATTAAACCATTGAGCTTAAGTCACTATTTCAGATCAATATAAGGATATTTGAGGATATCAAACAAACTTGAGAAATCCATTTTTACAACTAGTTTAATAAATTTATCAGCAATTCTGAGGACGAGGACTCTTCGTTGATGTCCAGTGGGGATCCTTGGTAACTCTTTTACGTATCATGTTCCACCCTCATGCCCAAGCTTTGAGTTAGCAGCTTTATCAGTCTAGTTTTGGCCACCAGTGATTTTATGGCTCTGATTTTTGGTCTTGTTCTTGGATGTGATGTGTCTCTTTCATAAAAGCCACGTTCATGTATCCAGCTTCAGAATTCTGTGAACACGAAAGAGACTCACGGAAATTGGGATTTATCATTGCTGCTTCTGATGTATGTTTTGTAATCTCTTGAAGACTTCCACCCGACTCTACCAAACCTGTTCCTGAAAAACTAAGAATGGCCATATGTGAGGATTTTGTGAAAACAGGATCCCTTGGTAGCACTTTGGGGTTACAGGGACAAGGCAGTCATAGGATTTCAGTTTTTTACACAAAGGAAACCAAATAACATTTACTTAAACTTACGTGTATGGATTCGAGATCCTGTCAGGTGTGGGGGTGAGGAGGTGGAAAAAGAGAAGGGACCGGAAAAAAATTCAAATACTAAATATAGAAACATTACTCCCAAATGCTATGCTCTATTAAGCCAGCAACTCAGGATGAGTTAGGCGGTCATGACTCTCAGTCTTGCAGATAACTGTTCTGACTTTACTAACAAGGAGTCTTGTAAGGGCAAGATTTTATTCAATAATTCAAATTCAGGGATGTCACAAATTGTTTTCTGAAAGAAAAAGGATGATTATTTAAAATTATAATTATAAGCCATTGGCAATATGATCCTAAGACATGTACTTTATAGATATTTTCGGTTAAAAATTTAATCCCCTCCCCTCCTACTTGCTAGAATGGCTATCATAAAAAAAAAAAACAAGAGATAACAAATGCTGGCAAGGATGTGGAGAAAAGGAAACCCTTGTTGAACTGTTGATGGGCACGTACTTTGGTTTAGCCACTTTGGAAAACAGTATGGAGTTTCCTCAAAAAATTAAAAACAGAAATACCATATGGTCCAACAATTCCACTTCTGGGTATCTGGAAAAAATGAAATCACTGCCTGAAGATATCTGTGCCCCACCCCATATTCATAGCATCATGATCTTACATATATGTACAATCTAAAAAAAAAAACCCAAACTCATAGAAGTAGAGATCAGATTTGTGGTTGCTAGAGGTGGGGGGGTCGTGGATGGAGGAATTAGGTGAAGGTGGTCAAAAGGTACAAACTTCCAGTTATAAGATAAATTCTGGGGATGTAATGTATACCATGAAGACTACAGTTAACAACAATGTACTGTATATTTGAAAGTTGCTAAGACACTAGATCTTAAAAAGTTCTCATTGCCAGGAAAAAAAATAGTTTTACTTTTTTATACTTTTTAACTTATACAATGAATGTTATATGTCAATTACATCTCAATAAAACTGAAAAAATGTAATCCCTAAATACCTATAGAATATCTAGTAATTATAAAAATATAAATCTTATACTTTTATATTAGCACTTTCATTGTAAGCTTATTATTATATCTTATTATATCTTATTGTCCTATGTGTATTACCTCATATTAGCTGATATAATCATTCTGTTCTATTAGGTGAGTTTTTACTTAATACTCTGGTAAACATTTTCTGTCCCTTTAAATCATGAAAAAAAGTATCTTTTTTTTTTGAAAGATCTGTGACTTTAAAAACCAAATACCTTTCTTATAGAAACTGATCAACACAGATCAAATTTTACATACAATTATGGGGTTTACCAATTCCCCTAAACTCGGACCTCTGTTTAAATTTTGATACACACCAACTCAATTTCTGTGAGAAATTCTTAGTTATCCTGAAATAAATGAGGAGCTTCTATAAGGAGGAAGAAACTACCATTCAGAGAATTTGAATTCTGGCTCTACTAGTTAGACTAGTTAGACTCTGATATGTCCCATCACCTCTCTGAGTTTTGTTTCCTACACTTAAAGTGTGAGAATAACAATTAATCACTAATTTTTCAGGGTTATTGCAAAAAATAATTAACATAAACATACCTAACATATGGGAGGAACTCAATAAGTGTTCAATATGGAAACAAGCGTATTCACTGAGAGAAAGAAGCTGTATTTATTGAATGCCATTAATTTGCCAAGCAATACACCAGGTATTTTATATGCATTATTTTCATTATTCTACTTTAACCCCAGTAGCCATCTTTGAAATTCAATCATTCATTCATTCACTCACTCTTATACTAGCTTTATGGAGATATAATTCACACACTATACAATTCAGTCATTTAAAGTACATAATTTGGGGTGCCTGGGTGACTCAGTTGGTTAAGCATCTGACTCTTGGTTTTGGCTCAGGTCGTGATCTCAGTTCATGGGATCAAGTCCTGTGTCAGGCTCCTCACTCAGCTTGGAGTCTGCTTCTCTCTCCCTCTGCTCCTCTTCCCAGTTGCACTTTCTCTCTCTCTCTCTCAAATAAATAAATAAAAATAAAGTACACATTCAATGGTTTTTAGTATATTCACAGGGTTGTACAACCATATTACAATAAATTTTAGAATATCTTCATCACCCCCGGTATAAACCTAATACCCTTTAACTACACCTCCCATCTTTCAATGCCTCAGCCCTAGGCAAGTACTCATCTACTTCTATGTCTATATATTTGTCTACTCTGAACATTTTATATAAATGGAATCATATAATATATGGTGACTGGATTTTTCTCATTTCACATAATATCCTTAAAGTTCATCTGTGTTATAACATGGATCAATACTTCATTCCTTTTTTGTGGCTAAATGATATTCCATTGTATGAATGGATATATCACATTTTATCTACACATTCATCAGTTGATAGACTTTTAGGCTGTTTACACCTCTTAGCTATTATCAATAATGTTGCTATAAATATTCATATGTAAATTTTGGTGAGGAACGGCCACCTTTGAATATTATAACTTCATTTTCCCAGATGAAGGAACTATAAGGTAAATGAGGTTTCCTCCTTTCACACAACTAGTAAAACGCTGAGCCAGTATTTGGGACATAAGGAGCAGTGAGAAGTCCTATCAAGGACACAAAGCTATATTTGGAGATGGGAGGATTCAGAAAAAGCTTTATGGAAGAGAAGGTATTTAAGTTAAATTACGAGGGACAGTAGGAAACAGCCAAGAGAAAATCTGGGGCAAGGAAGTCATGAGAGAAGGCAGTGGAGGGAGAGGGATTTCCAAGAAGAGCCTAAAGATGACTGCAGTAAGTCCTTGTATGGCTTTGGGTCATATGCTCAGATTATATTTTGTAAAGACCCTTCTGGCTATAGGCTAGCAGAACAATAGGATTTCAAAAGACAAAAGCCAGGAAGATGAAAGAAGGAAGGAAGATAGGATGTGTCTTTCCAAGTAAGGGAAATACATGATCTAGTGGGAGGAAACCAGAGTTTTGGGGGAAACAGTAAACAGATTGGTTTCCTTTGATCAAGCTTGTTTGATGTCAGAAAGTTATTTGGACTATGGGAAGTTCCTATGTGGCTTCAGATCTTCTAACTCTGGAAGTATAGCTCTGAAAGCCTTCCCTAACCACCCCAGACAGGTTTAGATGCCACTCTTCCTGCTTTCACAGCATTCTGGGCCTACCATTATGGGAGAACTCACACAGTGTATGGCAGTTGCTGGTTATATGATGGTCACTTTCATCAAGGCTGAGTTCTCTGAGGGCAGACACTCTATCTTGTATATCACCATATCCGAACCACAAGGGAGGGGCAGCATGAGGCCTGGCACTCTGTATATGCCTAATAAATATTTGCTGAATGAATAAACTTTATCGGATAGACAAAACAAGTCTCTGAAACTCTATGGGATGAAGTACTATGAAGGCAGGCAGTGCTTCATGAAGATTAGTCTGGAGGCATGGGCAGGACAGATTAGGAGGAAAGACTGAAAGAAGATGAGTTAAGTTGTTGCTCTAACCCAGGTACTAAGTCCTTGGGATGCAGAGGGTAACATGATGGACATAGTTCCTGCTCTTATAGATTTTATAATCCAATAGAGAGGAAAGATGGGATTACAACACAGGACGCAACATGGTCTCTTACAAGGCCATGTCCCTGGTTACCCCCATATCCTGAAAGGGAAACAGTAGAGTTGGGGTATTACGAGATAGTGGCTAAGAATATGGTACCACAGAGAGTTGGCTTCAGTCCCTGTTCTTCTACTTATTGGCGATGTGCCTTGGCCAATGATGTCATTTTACCTCTCTAGAGCTCAGTTTCCTCAGCTGTGAAAATGGGCAGAATAGTTTGTAGATTAAATGAGATAATGTACATAAAATGCTTAGCACAGTACGAGGCACATAGCAAGCACTCAACAAATGTCAAGCTCTTACCATTTTAGCCTCTGAGGTGTTGCAAGGAAGGAGAAGATCTAGGATATGTCTGATCTCAGGGATCTATATAGTGATCTGTTTGTAGTATGATAATCACCGAGAATCAGGAGATGTGGGAAATGTTAGCAGTGTGACTCAGGCATACCATTTAGCCTCTCTTGAGTTTTATCTCCCTCCTGTATAAAATGAGGGGATTGAATTGGAAGATCCTTAAGATTCTAAGTTTAAAAATAATTTTGGAGTTAACATGTATGAAGATGTTACAAGTTGGTACTTTTTTCACATATGAAATGTGGAGCTTGACGTACTATAGTCCTTACCCCTATCACATTTTTATCTTCTTTGAGGGTAATGTTGTGGATCTCAAAGCTATCAGGTCTAGTATATACACCATTAAGACTCATCAACTATTGGGGCGCCTGGGTGGCTCAGTGGGTTAAGGCCTCTGCCTTTGGCTTGGGTTGTGATTCCAGGGTCCTGGAATCGAGTCCCACATTGACTCTCTGCTCAGCAGAGAGCCTGCTTCCTCCTCTCTCTCTGCCAGCCTCTTGGACTACTTGTGATCTCTGTCAAATAAATAAATAAAATCTTAAAAAAGATAAAAGACTCAGCAACTATAATACTGTAGTGTTTATTCATGTATGTCTCTGTCTTTCTCTACTAAAGACTTCCAGAAACAAAGTCTATCTTCATATCCCTAGGACTTAGCATAGTTGAGAACAGCTGTAGCTCAAGCAAAAAAAAATAAACTACTGGAAATTAAGCTGCATAATCTGGCAGTTCGAATTTGGATAAAATCTATGAAATAACTCATATAGTTTGGAAATAATCACCTTTCTTTTTTGTTTAAGATTTTATTTATTGACCTGAGAGAAGTGTGTGCACCGGTTGGGGGAGGGGAAGAGGGAGAGGGCAAGAAAGAATCCCAAGATTCTGTGCTGAGTGCAGAGCCCAACACGGGGCTTGATCCCAGGACCCCAAGACTATGACCTGAGCGGAATCAAGAGTTGGACACCCAACCGATTGAGCTACCCAGCCACCCCAGAAATAATCACCTTTCTGAGAGCAAGCCAGATGTAGGTCTTATGTTCACAGCAATAGTACCCAATAGGCAGGATCTACATAAGTATCCTTGAAGTAAACATCTAGCAGGTGATACAAACTAGTGGAGAAAGCAAGCAGCCTCTATCTTAGATTCAGAATGCAACTCTGCTCATTGAAGCCCCTCTCCCTGACACATTTACCAGCCAGACTCTGGACCTTCTCTGAGCCTATACTATTGGCTGCATCTATCTGGATTTGACTACTTGTCTGCTTAGATCTTTGTAACATCATTGCTTTTCTCTGACTCTGACCTTAGGCTTGACTACTTGCCAGACCAGACTATCTTCATTTACCTCTCAGGGCCTCAGATTTGCTCATTTCTGAGACAGAGCTAGAATCATCCATGGCAAACAGGGTTGAGAATGAGGCATACATGTGAAAATATTTAGTAGTCATTCATTCTCAAATATTTATAGAGCACCTGTCTATAGCTAAAATGACATATGAGATACAATCCTTGCCCTCCAGGATCTCACTGCTGATTTGATGAGATAGAGAAGCAAAAAGAACAATGGTGATACACTGTTGAAGAAGATATGAGACACGCACAATCTCTTTGGGATCACATAGGAGGAGAGTGTTTACTAAAAGCTGACCCAGGTGTTCCTGGGTAGCTCAGTTGGTTGGGCATCCTCCTCTCCATCTTGGCTCAGCTCTAGTCATAACAGCAGTACTACTTGACTACTTGGCGCAGCAGTAGTCATAACAGTAGTAATAACAGCAGCTGTAGTCATGGTAATAGTAGCAGTATTAGCAGCAGCTGTAGTAATAGTAATATTAGGATCAGTAGAAATAGCAGCAGTCACAGCAGTAGTAGTACTAGTAGTAGGAGTAGTAGCAGTAACAGTAGCAGTAGCAATAGTAGTAATAACCATAGTAATAGTCATAGCAGCAGCGGTAGTAGCAGCAACAGCAGTAGTAATAGTAGTAGCAGCGGCGGTAGTAGCAGCAACAGTGGTAGAAATAGCAACAGTGGCAGTAGTAGTAGTGGCAGTAGCAGCAGCAGCAGCAACCATTTACCAAGTACCTACCATGTACTTCGGCACCGTGCCTTATCCACAGAGTAAACACTTAAACCTGCTCATGCATTGTGTCATCTGATCTTGCAACAACTCCATGAAATGGATATTGTTATAGAGCCCATTTTACAGATGAGGAAACTGAAGCCCAGAGAAAAGCAACTTGTTTTAAGGACCAAAACCCAGAAAGTCATAGAGCTGAGATGCCAATCTGGCTCTTTTAGATGTCTAAGCCTGAGTTCCTACCCACTCTATCAGACTCGCTCTCCTGGGCCGTGGTTTATCTGGGACATAAGGTGGTACAATAGTGTTAATCAGAGATTTGTGTTTGAGTTTGGGTTCTGTCACGTACTAGCTGTGTGACCTTTGGCAAGTTACCAAATCTGAGCCTCGGTTTACTCATCTGTGAAAGAAGCCTCCTGTGGAAGAAACTTATTCCAAGGAAAACATACAAGTCCAATCCAGATGGCCAGGGTGTATTTGCCCTCATTAGGAGGGCAAGATAGGAACATCATTAATGTTAAGGCACGGGTAATAAGTCAGTTGTGTTGGGAATGTCAGAATCAATGACATAGTTTGAGAAGGGCAATGGCTTATACAGAGTATACAAAAAGGGAGACACAGAGAGTAAGAAATCATCAGAGACTCTCCAGGCCTGCCCTGAGAAGTGTGTGCCCACAACAGCAGAAAGGAGAGTTCTAGTGGGCAGATCTCCCCACAGACTGCGGTGCTGTGGGCTCTAGGGCCAAGCTACTGAGGTTCATACACTGCTCTGTCCCTGACCAGGCTGTCTGAGTTCCCAAGTGTCCCTGGACCTTGGCTTTCTCACCCATAAAATAAGGCTAGTCCCAGAGCCTCCCTTGTGGGATTGGTGTGAGGACTGGTGAGAGAGAGGGAGCTTAGAACAATGCCTCGCACATCGTAAGTGCTCAAAAAATATTAATCGTTATAGTTATTATTGGTGGCTCTATGTGTTAAGATCAAACCATTCTCTTTGCCCTAATTCTGTGCTCCAAGAAAGTTTTTCATTGTAACTGGAGTTTCCTAATAGAGGAGAGAGCGCTTGGGCTGGCTGATGTGTGAATTCTTCTCTGCTGGGACTATTTCTCATTATAAATGAATACAATTGGTATCCTAAGAGTTTCATGAATTTAAGTCACTAGTATGACTGTTCCTCTCTTGATCTACCTTGATTCCACAGGTATCAGATGACAAAAATGAGTGTCAACACATGAAGCAACAGGCCAGGACAAGCACAGCTAGGTCCTCAGTCAGGCAATGCCCACATGCAAGAGCCCATCTGAGTAGCTGACCCATCTCCTCCATGATCTTTTTCTCTTTAATTTCATAACATTTCCATGAACTGCTGAAAACAGCAGGCAGCAGAGCAACAATTACGAGACAGGCTGCAAACCCAAAGGATAGTCTCTGGAACAATCTCTTCATTGAGGGAGAAACATCTTTGCAGAGTTCATTGGCTCCTCAGGCAGGACCACACCTACCTAATCTGGACTGAAGATATTATCAATTTATTGTTGCGGATTAATTCTCGCTCTGTGACTTGTTCCAGAAGTTTCCTTTTCTCTAGGAGCAGTATATTATTTTGAGCAGTGACCTCATCCTGGAATGCCTTTTTCTAGAGAAAACAAAGCCGTTCATTACCACAGCAGGAGGAAGAATTATGAAGTTGACACCAAATTTCCCTTCTTTACCTTTCCTCTCCTGTCCCCTCATCTGTTTTTACCTGTTTGCTGACATTGTCAGCTGGATAGTTCTTCTGTTTATTTTGTTTATATTAGGTCCTGTATTCTCTTTGAACAATTAATCATTCTCCTGGGTTAACATTTTAAAATATCTGAGCACTTAACTTCCAAGAAGGTCCCAAGGCTTTCATGTGTATTCTAACACCATAGGTATCAAATCACTACCAAATGCAACTGGATCCTCCAAAGCTTCAGTTTGACATTTTCCCATATAATACATCTCCATCTGCATTGTGGCAATAGTCTTTTTAAGGCAAAAGGAGGAGATGCAAATTTAGCCCCCACACTTGGCAACCAGCATCAGGATCTCAGTTGCCTTGGCACATGGAGCAGGTAAGGTGGCTATGGAGAATATCCTTACAGTGCTCATGCTGAAAAGACTTCTAACTTGACACCATGTCTCATTTTCTACCAACAAGTTCCCCGGAAAGCAATAGCTAGCAAAGTTATAGCCAAAATGACAAAGGAGTGTATGTTGTGAAAAAATACTAATGTTCTTGTATTGAAAGAGTCAGTAGCTATTAATAAATATCACAGTGGGTGAGGAGTTTAGAAGCTCGAAAGTGTAGAATTGCCCTTCTCACTTCACTGATGCCCTGTCAATGGTAAGTGCCTTCACCCTTCTGTGTTGACACCCCACCTGCCAAAGGTGGGAGTGAGTGGGGATGGGAGAAGGATAATGAGCTGCTGGCAGCTGGTGAATCATCGAGTTAAGAGGGGCAAATTCATTTCTTTCTTTTAAATAAGGCACTAATATAGATCATCCAGAAAAGATGCCATCTATTATTCAAGAACGGTAAGAGAGGATATTACATTATGTTCTGAAACAAACTACTCCAGATTTTTAAGTTCCACAGCCAGGACCCTTCCATGTCTAACAGCAGTCTTGTCTGCTCTTATTTAAATACATTTTTGGTAAGGATTGAGAATAGAAGCAGTCATCCTACCAACACTACTCTGTGGTTACAACTGGATTAGAAAGGAAACCGGATGGGGCAGACTACTGACATTCTACCCTTGGAAGTGCCCTATTTTTTTTTTTTTTGAACGAGAAAATCAGGATGCCTGCTTTAATAAAAGGATAAAATATTTGGAGAAATCTGGTTTGGATGTTTACAACAGTCAGGAGAATCAAATGGCTCACTGTATAAAGAGAAGGCTGAAGGAATGAAATCCCAAAAAAGTGGCATCACTTTCTGGAGACTTGGTGCTTAGAAGGTGAGCCCAGATTTTTTAAGCTTGTGGCTCTGGTCCATGGGCCCTAAAATAAATAAAATCAGGACCTTCAGGTTTGTAGCACTGTGGCATTAAAAGATCTCATACCAGTCTTCTCTAGGTTAAGTATTTCCTATTCTATTAACAATTTCTCCTGTGAACTGTACATCTACCAATCAGCATATTTCTAAGAGAGCTTACACCAAAAGAGAAGTAAAGAACATCTCTGGAAAGTTGTCTGTGTTAGGTGCCACTTTGGGCATTTCCTATTTTAACTGCACAAAAACCTCGTGAGGTAGGGATTAGTTCTACCATTTCATGGACAAGGAAAATGATACACAGAGATTTGTGCCAGACCACAGAACTATGAAGTGGCAGGTCTAGACTTTGTATCTGCCTATGGCCAAAGCCCCCAGCAGCCTTCAATGGCAGTGAGCAAAGGGACCAACTGCTCTTCCTTAGCCTCTGCTTATTTGCCATCTCTCCTGGAGATCTGTGGTTCTCTGGGTAGATGTATCAGTTTCCCAATACTGTTGGAACAAATTACCACACACTGGATGGCTTAAAACAACAGGAATTGGTTTTCTCACATTTGTGGAGGCTACAAGTCTGAAATTGGAGTCTTGGCTAGGTTAGTTCCTTCTGGGGGCTCCATGCCTCTCTCTCAGCTTCTGGAGTTTACAAGCAATCCCTGGTGCTCCCTGGCATAGCTGTATCCCTCTGAGAGCTGCCTGCATTGTCACGTGGCCTTCTTCCCCTGCATGTGTCTACGTGTGCCTGTTTTTCTTATAAGGACACCAGTCATATTGGATTTAGGGCCAACCCTAATCCACCATGACCTCATCTTAACTAATTACACCTGCGAAGACCTTATTTTCAAATTCGATCACATTCTGAGGTTCTATATAGACACGAATTTGTGGTGGACACAATTCAACCCAGTACAGTCAGGAAGAAAGAAGTAGGGGGCTGTTTCTGTCATGTAAGTCTAAGAGTGGAAGGCTGGCAGTACAAGAGAGTGGTAATGCAGAAGTAGACTGCTATTTCCAGTGGGCCCATGAACCAGGATGGCTCCTTACTTCTGTAGTATTTTTCATGTGCCTTCCCTAGTTGTGAGTCTAACCTAGATCTGAGTCTTTAAAAGTTTGACAATTTAGTGCCCAAAGAGAAGGATACTGCAAAATCCAACTATTTTCCTCTCTCACTACAGTGTGGAGTATCAGGAGGAATTTTTTTTTTAAACATTGGTGACCCATCTGTTATAATCCAAAAATGTTTTATTGTGTGTAGTCTAGAATTCTTAACCATCCCATAATAGCCCATGGAATGACTGAAATTACATGAATTCTTTGGGGATCCTTGGCACATACACAAAAATGAGTATTTTAGAAGTGAGCACAGAGTTTTCAAAATTTTGATGGGCTAGGCATCTCGAGAAGGGAAAGCATTACTGGCCTAGTCAGTTGAATTCATGTAGTTTAATGATCTCAAGACCATTGTGCAGTTGATTCCATGCCATTGGTCTCACTTTCCTCCTGCCTACCAGTAAGTCACAGGGGCAATGGGACAAAGATGGAGACATAGATATTTAGAAAAAAAGCCTGCAGGTACTATACAGGGACTGATAAATAGGGGTCACCAGTTTTTCCTGCCATTTAAAACTGATGGAAGTTTGAGGCAAAATGAGGGCAATGTGAAGTAGGAATGCGCTATGGAGGGCAGTCTGGAAGTCTCTGCTGACGGATATTTAAGAGCAGACATTGTCATTTGAAGACAAGACACTGACCGGAGTTGGAAGTGCAGGATATTTTCAGTGTCTGATTCAGTTTACCAGCACCATGAGTCTTACATACTTTTTAGCAGAATTACTCACATCAAAAGAAGGTACAAAGGAAGGAAATGGGAACCTAGGGTATGAAGAGGCCACAAGAGAGTCAAAGCATGAGTGGGTTTTCTTGAATGAGCTGAGCCACAGCACACTGGGGAGCTCTTCACCTTTCTGCTCACCTTTTCCATTTGCTGCCGCAGACCTCTGATTTCATTTTCCAGTTGTTCAATTCTCTTATCTCGTAGTTCTACTTTGTGACTTAAACGGTCCTTGACTCTGCAAAGCTTGGCTTTGTGATGGTAACGTTTCTCATTACAGATTCTATAAAAGTAAATTTAAATAGAGGTTCAGCTGAGCACAGTGGACACTTATGTTGCTTTCTCACTGTGCACCTTTCTTGGGTTTTCTCCTCTTGCTTTCACCAGAGGCAGGTACTTTCCTGCCTTCCATCTGCAGGACTTCTGGCCCCCATGTGGGGGAATGGACTAAGGGTAACCCCCTAAACAGCACCAGCTTTAGTCACCCCCAACTTGACTTTTGATCCCTGTAATTTTGAATCCTGTTCCATGGAATTCAGTCATTAATTTAAGTTTCTAATTCTTGTCTATACCCTTGGACAGTGATATAACCCACTTCAGTCTCTGATAACTGAGTCCATTCCTGGTCCTTGCTCCGAGTCTGGACGTTGGAGGCCAATTCTAGGCAGGTCTCTGTTCAAGACTCTAACTCAGATTCTGACATAAATCAGACTTATCACCAATAAGCGCGTGAATGATGTTCAACATCATTAGCTGTTAAGGAAACATAAATCAAAGCTACAGTGAGAGACTACTTCCCACCCACCAGACTGGCTAAAATAAAAAAGAAGACAATAACAAGTGCTAGCAAAGATGTAGAGAAATTGGAACTCTCAAACACTTCTGGTCAAACAGTGCAGCCTCTTTGGAAAAAGCCTGACTGTAGGACCCAGCAGCTCCACTCCTAGGCATCTACTCTAGAGAAATGATAACATTTGTCCACACAAAAGCTTGCATGTGAATATTCATAGTAGCACTATTCACAATAGCCAAAAGGTGGAAACAACCCAAAGACCAACAACTGATGAAAGGATAAGCAAAACATGGAATATCTGTACAGTGGAACATGATTGTGCCATGAAAAGGAATGAAGTGCTGATCCACACTACGACATAGAGGAAACTTGAAAGGATTATGCTAAGTGAAAGAAGTCACTCATAAAGGACCACGGGTTCTATGATTCTACTTCTATGTAATGTCCAGAAGAGGCAAATATAGAGGATTCCTGGTTGCTTAGGGCTGGAGGTGGGGAAGGAGATGGGGGATGGCAGATGATAACTAAAGGGTTTCTTTTGGGGGTAATGAAATGTTCTAAAATTGATTGCGGTGACACAGGTACACTAAAAGCCACTGAATTGTACACTTTAAGTGGGTGAGTTGTATGGTATGTCAATTATATCAATAAGTGTTTATAAAAAAAGAACAAAAATCTACATTACCGTTTCAAGCTGCTGTTACAGCTAACCTGAGTAAACAAGAAAACAGATTAAAGCCTCAATACCACCACTAGTCAAACCTCTTTGAAGATGACTATGCTTTCCAAATAAGAATATTGTTACTCAGAAAGCACTCCTGAAAATGAAAAATTTGCTTTGAACCTATTAGGTCTGATAACACAAAATAACTCTAAACTAGGATTTCTTGACCTCTGTCCTATTGACATTTTGTGCCAGATACTTCTTTGTTGAGGAAGTCTGAACTGTGCATTGCAGAATGCCTAGCAGCATCCTTGGCCTTGACCCACTAGATGCCAGTAGTACCTTCTACAGTGTGACAACCCAAAATATCTCCAGACATTGTGAAATGTCCCCTTGTCCTGGGAGGCAAACCGCTGCCCGCTGAGAACCCTTGTGGCAGCTAACGTTCCTAAACAGGTTTTTCTCTAAGCCTACAGCAGGGATTCTCAAACTGTGTTCTGATCGGCAACATCAGCCTCACCTGGGAACTTGCTGGGAATGCAAAGTCTCAGGCTCTGCCCCAGAACTACAGAATCATAAACTCTGGGAGTGGAACAGTCCTCCGGGGATTCCAGTGCAGGCTCAAGCTTGAGAGAAAGCTCTGGGCATATTGGGGAGGGAGCCACTCATCACTTCCACTTCATTATAAACAGACTACTTGTGGCGGGCTACAAGGTGCAGGTATATGTTCTTTCTTCTTTCCTGCTAACAAAACCCAGATTTCATTCAGGAAGCCCTGGATCTCAAGAAAAGTGGGTAGGGTGCAGGGGTGTGTGTGTGTGTGTGTGTGTGTGTGGCTGAGGGATGGGCTTGTGAGACAGGTACACCTGCTGCGCACTTCTAGGAACTTGAGAAACCATCCCTCTCTGCCCTGGCTGCCCTGTGCTGGGGCTGCGCCACTGGCAACTGCGGTCACTGCCTTGTAACCATGATATGACAAGTCTAAAGACTAAGGGACCGACCCACCAAGCATGGCAGAGCAGAACAAAGGGAAGAGCCTGGTGCCTAACAACACTGCTGAGCCACAGAATCTACCTCAGCAATCACCTTCCTCCAGATTTCTTGTTCTATGAGAAAAAAATTTCAGTCTAAATATATGTCAGGTGGGTTTTCTTGTTTTGTTTTGTAGTCAATTACATCCTGTTATTTTTAAAACAATAAAACTACTCTAAAGAAAAATCTTTCTTTCTTTTTTGGTATATAACTTAGTTTAATGTGGAAAACATAGTGGGAGACATTCGTATAAAAAAAGAAAACAGAAACCTGATTTTTCCTTAAGTTTTCTTTTTTTTCTTCTTTCTTTTTGTAATTTCAATTAATTCATATATAATGTATTATTAGTTTCAGAGGTAGAGGTCAGCGATTCATCAGTTGTATATAACACCCAGCGCTCATTACATCACGTGCCTCCTTCATGTCCATCACCCAGTTACCCCATCCCCTCACACCCCTGCCCTCCAGCAACCCTCAGTTCGTTTCCTATGATTAGGAATCTCTTACAGTTTGTCTCCCTCTCTAATTTCATTTTGTTTTATTTTTTTCCTCTCTTCTCCTATGATCCTGTTTTTTTTTTCTTAAATTCCACATATGAGATCATATGATAATTGTCTTTCTCTGATTGACTTATTTTGCTCAGCATAATACCCTCTAAATCCATCCACATCCATTGCGAATGGCAAGATTTCATTCTTTCTGATGGCTGAGTAATAGTCCATTGTATGTATATGTATGTATATATATATGCCACATCTTCTTTATCCATTCATCTGTTGATGGACATCTACATTCTTTCCATAGTTTGGTTATTGTGGACATTGCTGCTGTAACTATTGGGGTGCAGGTGCCCCTTTGGATCACTACATTTGTATCTTTGGGGTAAGTCCCTAATGGTGAAATTGTTGGGTCATAGGGTAGTTTCAACTTTTGGAGGGAAAGAAAAAGTATTCTAATGAGGGGAGCCTGGGTAGTTCAGTCAGTTAAAGGTCCGTCTTCACTCAGGTCATGGCCCCCAGGGTGCTGGGATTGAGCCCCGTGACAGGCTGCCTGCTCAGCAGGGGGAGTCTACTTCTTCCTCTCCCTCTGCTCCTCCCCCCATCCCACTTGTGCTCTCTCTCAAATAAATAAATAAAATCTTAAAAAAACTATTCTAATGGTCTCTATAGTCCCTGACTCTCCCTGAATGGCTAGACATTTAGGTAATGCCATTCTAATTGAAAAAAAAAAAAAGTGTTTAAGGAATGAGAAAACAAAAGCGTTTAAGGAATGAGAAAATAAAAGTGTTTAAGGAATGAGAAAGCTATTCTTTGTTACTGTAGGCACTTGAGGGCATAGTCAGTCAGGCCTGTGGTGGCAGGCAGTTTGCACATGTCCATGATCTGATCTTACCCGATCTTACCTCTGACACTTAAACTGGGGGAAGCCGTAACTTAAGTGAAGGGAACTAACTAAAAACCTGTACTCCAGGCTTTTCACAAGACACCTCCTTTGATTTTAAAACAAATTTATGTAGCCCATCTCCATACTCTACAAATCAGGAGACAGACTGTGCAGGAATGTTAACTTGGTGGGATGGGGATATCCAAACCCTTCACATTCCTTGACTGGCTCCTGGGAGACAATCTCTAAGCCCTTGGAATATGCTGCTTGGTAATAACAACTTTGTTCACCTGTGGCCTTGGGCCACACCAATATTTTATGCTAACAGTATGATTTATGGTGAGTGCATTTTTGTTCACCTAGACCCCTGGACCATGCTGTGTCAATCTGACCTTGGGCATTTGGGGGACTAGAGACTGAGTAGTTAAGGTTAATCACTGGGGCACTCCACGTCTCTGTGACTGACCCCTGATAAAATCTCTGGATGTTAGGGCCCAGGTGACTTTTCATGGTTGGGAATACTTCATACATGTTGTCATATGCCATTGCCGAGAGGATTATGTACTGCCCATTCTACTCCACTGGGAGAGGACATCAGGAAGGTTGCTGTGTCTGGTCTCTCCTGGACTCTATCCTATGTGCCTTTTTCCTCTGCTGATTTTAATCTGTATCCTTTCACTGTAATACAAACCATAACCATGAGTATAACAGCTTTTCTGAGTTCTATGAGTCCTGATGAATCACCAAACCTGAGGGTGCTCTTGGGGCCTCCTGACACAGAAGGAATTACTCCTACAGAGAGAATCTTACCCCAGAGCCTGTGATCTCCCACTATACAGCAATGCTATAATAACAGCAAAGCCAAGCAAACCAGATGCTGCTGATTTCTCACAGTAACATATCAATTTTTTAACTTTTGAAAATTAAATTTTATTATTTTTAAAATTGGGATGCCTGGGTGGCTCTGCTGGTTGAGCGTCTGACTCTTGGTTTTGGCTTAGGTAATGATCTTGGGGTTGTGAGATCAACCCCCATCTTGGGCAGTACAGAGTCTGCTCAAGATTCTCTCTGTCCCTCTCCCTCTGCCCCTCCTGGTCGGGCTCACTCTCTCTCTTTCACTAGTCTCTCTAAGAGATAAATAAATAAGGGGCGCCTGGGTGGCTCAGTGGGTAAACCTCTGCCTTGGGCTCAGGTCGTGATGTCAGGGTCCTGGGATCAAGCCCTGCATCAGGCTCTCTGCTCGGCAGGCAGACTGCTTCTCCCCCCACCCCCCAACTGCCTGCTTCTCTGCTTACTTGTGATCTCTGTCAAATAAATAAAATCTTTAAAAAAAAAGAGATAAATAAATAAGTAAATACTAAATTAAATTAATTAAAAAATAAATAAAATCTTTTTAAAAAGAATAAACAGG